TATATATAATATATATNATATATATATATATATAGTTATATATAATAATTATATATATATATATACTATATATATATATATATATATATATATATATATATAGATTTATATATATATAGTTATCGATATAGATATGTGCATCCATATGCACACATATAATATATATTAAGATTTTTGATGTATACTTATATTCGTGACTTTGTTCGTTGTTATACTTTCTTATATTGTTTAGATGTTTACAATTTCTTTCTTCACTTGATGTTAATGTTTATCAACTACATCTTTGTTTTGGTGGATATCTAGTGACCTTGTTTCCGCATATTTCTGTTAATCATTACTTTTGCTGGATATGGGATGTGTGATATCCTATGTTGCAGATCTGTCTTCTCCCATATGTCTTGGACCTTTGAACGGCTGATTCTTCTCTGTCTCTTTGATTCACCCCACCATTCCAACTGTATGTGTTCACCACGCTCCCGTCCTTAGCGAGGTTATTCCATTCCCTGCACACAAGCAAGCTTCCTATATGTAAGATGGTCGGATGTGTGTGGTACGCTCCTTCTAACTTCTCACTTCTCACCCGCTGCCCCACCCCACAGTTCCCGTTAGATGTCAACACAGTGCTCACATACTTCGCCAAGTCGATCTTCTACGACGGGTCCTGTACCAATGAGCAGTTCCGCATGCAGCTGAATCTGATGTTGCTGCCCTTTCCCTCGGCGCAAATAGTGTTCGACAGTGTCACGGTATCGGAGAAGTTCAACGTGAAAACGTTTCTGACCACCGAAGGCCTGGAGTACGATGTGGAGCAGAAGGCACCAAATCTGTACTTGATTCGCAAGCAAAAGAGGTGAGGCTGTGTTCACGGCCCACTCGGATGTGTGTTTTTCAATAGCGTTTGCAACGGATGAGTGACTTTTGGGACTGCTTTGCGTTTCATGCACATAAGTGTGTGTGTAGGTCTATAGCACCTGTAGCTACAAGCTAGTTAACGGACGGTACCAACCCATGCACCATTGCATCGAGACGATCACACGCACGCCGTCACAGTTTGTACACTCTCTGAATCTGTATGATTTACACAGTTATGTGATATCTCGGGCTCAGGAACGGCTACTGTATTCATGCACAAAGGGCAAGATATACGATTTCCTGTGTACATAATTATACACGTCTATTCGTATTATCATCGCTGAAATTCTCTCTCCTAATGTACATAAATATACACATGTTCAACAAGACATATTATAATCTATTCACTCAAATGTTTCCTTTCTTCGTACATAGTTATACGCATACCTAGCAAGATATTCAACCATCTCTACACTGAATTACAGAGCGGTACGACCAAACGGGACCACAGAAGCGCAAGCGCTGTCGTTGTACTACTGCATCGAGGGCAATATATACCCTGCCCCGGCCCTAAATTCAGTACTCAATTGCCGACTGTTGACCATCCAGTACCATCTTCATGAGGCGCTATCGGACAGTAAGTTAGGATTATGTGCTTTTGGATTGTGGATATTACTAGAAAATGTACTAAGGGAATATAATACTAGATTTTTTGGCTGTATTCGGATCAAAAGCTGGTAGGATTGTGTGTTTTTGGATTGATTTAGAATTGGTGAGGAATGTGCAATGGGAATGTAATTAAAAATATATTTGTTTTTTATTATTTGCAAACACTAAGGCCTACGATAGTAAGTTTTATTTATCACTGATATTATTGTGTGTTTTCAGATTGATTTCATATTGGTAGGAAATATACTATGTGAATATAATTTTACAAGCATGTTTGTAGGTAGTTGCAGATGCTGTGTCGAATGACAACTAGTTATATTAACAGCTGTTATACGTACACGTCATACTCAGTGTATGCATGCATATATTTAATAGCACTCAATCTGTGTATATACCTATAGCTTCTCTCAACCAATGTGTTTGAGGTTATACTGAAAACCAACGGTGCAACGCTATGAACCTTTTGATCTCACCTGGTTGACTCGCTCACCCCTCTATCACCCAACACGGTCATTCATATTACAATTAGTGAACCATGGCACTATAACATCTCCCAATGTTTACACATACGTTTCCGCTCCATATCAGTTTTACGCTACAAGCCTGTCGAGGGAAACACACACACAGTTCGGTGCCTTTATAGTGTCTATACCCAAGTGCAATACAAACATTTTTGTTTTATATATTTTATTTTAGGCCAACAGCTACGCCGATTCCACCCTAGCGCAGGGTATACGTGGGCGGAAGAAGTCGGCGACGATGATGATGACGACGACATGGCACTACCACTAGAGCATGTGGATGGTATGTTATGTACACAACACTATTATACAGGGTGCGTATTTACATGCCAAATAGCCATGTGTCTGCGTCCATCTATCAGGCAAACATATGTGTATTGATGTATCGGAAGATCTGTGTGCATATATATGCATACACATATAGATATATATATAGTTTGCAACCACTATACTATATATATATAAATATATACAATAAGTATATAAATACATATATATAAGTATGTATATATATATATATATGTATATATATATGTAAGTATATATATAT